ACACACACACACACACACACACACACACACACACACACACACACACACACACACACACACACATACACATTATACAGTTTGTAGATTTAGCGGTCGATATTTATACATCATCATTCCTGGCGTACGAGTCCCAGGAGCAGGAGACTGTGTGTCCACCTTCATGCTTGTTTGCAGGTTAACGTCCAGATTTTTCACACTGCTCCTTAAATCAGCTCACAGATCGATGCTGAACGTTTTACCCAACGACATGAAGACGTTTTACTGAAATAAAACATTTTAAATCAACATGAAGACGTTTAACTGAAATAAAACATTTTAACTCAACATGAAGACGTTTTACTGAAATAAAACATTTTAAAGCCATAAGAAAAATTAAACTTCACTCATCCTAACCGTTCCTAAAGATCTGAGCAGAAATATTTATTTCCTGCTCAGAGTTTTCTTCGCTGTACTTCATAAAAAGCGCCGTGCTGTCGCCTCTCGGCCCTCTGCGGCGCTGCTCGGTCCAATCTGCATTAATGTGAGTCCTGGTCGGATGTGGGGCCGCTGACAGGAGCTCAGAGGGTCTCATCGATCCGAGGGGACTCCAGCCGACCCGTCTGTCAGGTCCACAGTCCACCAGGGGGTGTGGTGGGAGGTGACGGTGGAGGAGGAGGTGTCAGGATTATTGTCTCCAGTGTGCCGTCGCCGTGCCGCATTAGAGCCCATCGATCGGTCGGGCCATCGATCGCTGACATGCCGACGGGCCGAGCCGAGCCGCTCCTGTCTGACCAGGACTGGGGCTYTAACACGCGTGTTGGAGATGACATGTCAGGTCAGACCACCTGATCTGAGCGGGCTTACTTCCTGACAACAAAGATTTCTGTAAAGTGACCTGTTGAAGTGGAAACCATCCATCCACAGCCAGGCTCTGGTTTTATTATTTGTTTCAGTTTTTATTGTCAGAGAGACTTTCACTTCCTGTCTGAGGCGTTATTTCTTCTTCTATTAAAGACATGAAGCAGGAATCGTTCATGTTTGGTGAAYTGATGTGAGCAGTTCTGACCCACAGAAGGAAAAATGATGCTGGGAGGTCGGATCGACAGGAATTTGGAAAGTTTTGTGGGTTTTTGTTGGCAGAGAAGTCGTTCACAGGTTGAAATCCCACAGGGGGTTCTGAGTGAGTGAGAACCGGAAAGGTGGGAGGATCTGCGAGGAGCTGAGGACCGAGTTACGCTGGCTGGAAAGGAAAACACATCAGAGCCCAGCTCAGGACCGTAATGAGGAGGAGGAGGAGGAGGAGGAGGGTCTACCAATGTTTAAAAACCAGAAAACCTTTAAAGTTTAAAGGAAAGATCGAAGATTTTACAAAACATCTGAGAGAAAATTCAGTTTCTGCAGCTGAGGGAAGAAACTGAAGCTGGAAACCAGATTAAAACCAAAACACCACTTTGAAACCTGAACACCAGGAAACTGGTTTAGAATCCAGTTTGGAAACCTGGAGGCTAGGGCTGTGTGGTATAACAGTATGAAGTTGGCCTACAGTAGAAATGGACCCTCTACCTGTCGTCAGTTACATCATCACACCTGTGTCAACAGGACTGAGTGCAGAGACACCTGAGCAGGAGGAGTTTTAAAACATCACCAAGAGTGAGTCTTCACCACAACAAAACCAGCTGACCCAGCACAGCCCCCGGCTGCCACCAAAGACCACCTACACAGCCCCCACCCCAGAAGAAACACTACACACCCACCCCAACATTCAGACAACTCTCAGAACATATAGACACCCAGGCTGGGTTGGCCTATCCCCTCCCATGGGCCACTGGCCCCGCCCCCAGCCAACCCAACCCCCCAGCTCATGAGACCCGCAGCCCACCAGCACACCTAAGGCCCCCACCCAGAGCCAGGCGCCAGAGCACAAACCGGCCCAGAACTCGACAACCCGCCCGCCAGGACTAAAGCCCCCCAGCCCCACCAGGACCACAGCCCAGGGGCAGCACGACCCCAGAAGCCTAAGCCCCCCCACGCCCACCATGTGATGAAGCCGACCAGCTGAGCCCAGAGATGGTGATCTGATGGTTCAGCAGAGGCTGTCTCAAGACTAATGTGATCTAATAACAGATTTCTGTACTGGTTAATACTGAGAGCGTTTTCATTTTTCCAGTTCAAGAGGATGGTTTTCTTTGTGATWCATAAGAGTGAAAATCATTTCAGATGTGTTTTTCTCTGAGGTGACATCATCTAAAATAGCCAATAAATCAACAGATGGAGAGAGTGGGATATAACATTTCAGACATTTAGACAAGTCTTCACAACCCCTGCTCCAGAACCTCTGACCAGGTGGACAGAACCAGAGTGCATGGATGTCATTGTCAGGTATATTGTGTGTAGTTTGTTCGTAATACTTTGGGTTTTTTGTTAATGAAAAGTGTGTTACAAATTAAATTTATTATTATTATTATTATTATCAACAACAACAACAACAACAACAACAACAACAACAACAACAACAACAACAACAACAACAATAATAATAATAAGGAAACCAGTTTGGGAACCAGTGTAGACACAAGGAAACCAGGAACCAGTATAAACATACGGAAGCCAGTTTGGAACCAGTATAAAAATAAAGAAACCAGCTTGGAACCAGTATAGACATAAGTAAGCCCGTTTGAAACCAGTATAGACATAAGGAAACCATTTGGAACCAGTATAGACATAAGAAAGCCAGTTTGAAACCAGTATAGACATAAGGAAACCATTTGGAACCAGTATAGACATAATGAAACCAGTATAGAAACAGTATAGACATAAGGAAACCAGTATAGAACCAGTATAGACATAAGGAAACCAGTATAGAACCAGTATAGACATAAGGAAACCAGTATAGAACCAGTATAGACATAAGGAAACCAGTACAGAACCAGTATAGACATAAAGAAACCAGTTTGTGAACTGGGTTTGGTTTCTCCCACTGCCATGAAAGACTGTTGAAGCTTCTCTGTTAGCAGAACATCTCATGAAGCATTGTACAGACTCTAATGTGACCTTTAGCTGCGGCGGCCATCTTGAACTGASTTGTTTCTAAAAGTTAATCAGCTGTAGGCCTGAGTCCAAACATTTCATAAACTTATAAAAACATTTTTGTTTAAAATCGTGTTTTTAGCTTTAAGTTGGTGTTCGGCTCCTTTCAGCTCTAACTCAGGTTCAGCCTTTTGAACACATTTCATCCTTCAGGCTGTTTTTRCAGGAGTATTTATCTGACAGAGTGTTGACCTTTGACCTTTGACCTGGACCAGCTCCTGGCAGGTAAGTCTGGTAGGAAGTAGAACATCTCACCTGTTTGGTCATGGAGTCTATCAGCCGAACGTAGAGGTCCTGCTCCGTCCTGATGCCTGAAAGACACGGTAACGAGACAAACACCGTTACACAACATGCATACATGCATTAGCCCGTTATGCTAATTCCATGAAAGGCCCTGAACAAAAGGAGCGCCTGCTCATAATGTGCTGTAACTGAACAGTGATGTTATTTATGTCCTGGTTGTGTATTCATGTTAGCTCAGGCTATCGTCCTGCCTGCTCCTCCTCCTCCTCCTCGTCTACAAACACAAACATCAGCGCCGCTGCAGAGCTGTTTATTATTTATGGGACGGGCCGGCGTTAACTGCCGAGCGCCTCTCTGCCCCCCRCCGCCGTCTTCCTCCAGGAGAACAAGGAATCCTCATCCTCCGACAAATTAAATATCAATCAGGAGCGCTCGTCTTTTATTAGCCATGCATCCGGGCGTAAATGTGACACGGGCGCGGCGTGGGGGCGGAGGAAGGAGAACGCGGGGAACACCTGTTAGCGGCGCGGCGCCTCTAATTGTAGCGGATGCTGCGGGTTTTTGTTTCGGGCCGTTTCCCTCGCAGCTTCCTGCGCCTCCTAATTGACATGATTCACTCGTCGGTCTGCGGCCTAAATGGCGGCGATCCGTCCCGGTTGCAGATGAGGTCAATTACCTCGGAGCGACGCTAATTCCACGCTCCGTATTAGAGTGATTTATCCCGGCCTGGAGGAAAACGCTCCTTTATGTCCCACTTTATCTGCTGCTGCTGCTGCGGGGGTCTGAGAGCATTACGGCCCGCTGGATCCGGGCCAGAACAGAACTGAGCTGTGTGTTTCCAATCAGCCCGGCCCCACCTCCCATCAGCACCGACCCAATGCACTAAACAGAACTCAGGTCTGTCACAGATTCCAGATGTCTGCGGTTCTGATAATGAGAAACTTTTTCCAGACTTAAAGCCGAGTTAAACTTCCCGTCCAGTGAAGTGACCTTTAATATGTAAACTAAATCATCGGACCGCCCGCCCGCTCAGCTGGTCTGGTCTGAGGGGTGGGGGGGTATCATTAACTCTCCTTTATCGACCAATGCTGCAAATCTAGAGGAAAAAAAKCTTCATTTAGGTTTAATGTCAGCAAAGAGGAAAAATCACGTCTCTGGTGGATTCACACTCTCAAGAAGTGGGTCCAATTTACTGCTTTTGAGCTTTCAGAACAGGGTTCCTACAGCTGAAAACAAATTAAATTTAAGACTTTTAACACCTCTTTAATGCCACTTGAATTTTATTTTRAGACCAACTTCACAAAAAAACAATACGGGAAAAAAAATCAAAAAGAAAAGATCAAGATGAGATTAGATGCATCCGGACAAAACCCCAAAAAACTTAGCGACAATTTTACCCAAATGTTTACTTTAAACAAAATTTTGTTAACTTTAACAACATAATTTTTTTAAACTAAATAAATGTAACCAATTATTTTAAAATTTGAGATGAATTAGAATAAACCTAATTAGCTACAATGTTTTTAATACCTCTGAAAGGTTGATTTAAGACATTTTAAGGCTAATTAAGGCCTTATTTTTGGATTGATGAATTCAATGCCTTTTAGTGCTTTTTAAGGATCTGCAGGAACCCTGCAGAACCCACAGACCACGACAGGACAGAACACACCCACCAGCAGGTCCTGCAAACCCGAGACCAGGTCCAAAAACCAGATCTATCAATAAAAAAATGCTTTTATTTTGATGCAGGGTGGAGCACGGTTCTGTTCAGTTCGTTACGCAAGGCGAGTAGTATGTGGTTTTACAGGACCCCGATCCAAGCCCAGGGCCCCCGATCCAAGCCCAGAGCCCCCGATCCAAGCCCAGAGCCCCCGATCCAAGCCCAGAACCCCCGATCCAAGCCCAGAACCATGTTGGTTTTCTTTATCCTGATTATTGGACTGGAAGTGAAACACGCTGCAGCCTGAAGAAGCCTTCAGCTCTAACGTGGGTTAAAGCAAAAAAAGAAAAATCTTTTGACTGAAATATTTTCCTGCAATGATGAGGCTCAGCTGCATGTTTAAAACTAAGAACATTACAAACTTTACCCAGTAAACAGGTCAAATACTGATAACCACTAACAGTGAATTTAGGAGGCATTTCTTTGCCTGGTTTAATGACAGGTCCACTCATAAACTGACATGACATCATGCAGCCTTCAGAACATAAACTAACTCTGTGACAAACAATGATGACATCAAGGAAATAACTGTGGTCGGTGTTGTCAGCTTGAAAAACTGATACATGGTTTGGAACTGGTTAGATCACTAACGATGGATTGACTGATTTATTTATTGACCTTTCTTTGACCAGACAAATCCTAATTATTTATTTGAAAATTATAGCAAATATATGTCTGTTATATGGAGCAAAATGACTTGAAAATACATTTTTTATTAGTTAGACTGATCTATTTTTAAAAATTACTATTTTTTAAACAGTAATTTTAATTGTTCAAGCTCATGTAATCATTTAATACTGTTTATTCTACATATTTGATCATTTATTTAATTATCACAGAGCAGTTCTGTCACAGTGGTTCTAAATATAAACAGGCAGTGAAGAATGAAAGTTGTATATTTATGATAAACTACAGAAACATTGGAAACATGGTGAGGATGAGGAGGTAAACATTAAACAGATTCATCTTTGCTTCAGTATGGGACAAACACATGTTAGTGAACGGTGTCTCGGCTCGGTTCGCTCTTTGGTACTCACGCAGAACGCACGCGTCCTCGCTAGCGATGGAGGGGTTTATATTTGGAGCTAACATTATTGTRGTAAAACAGGACATGTGGCAGAACACTTTATAACTTGTGAAATGTTGTAGGACAGTAGAGTAAAAGCTGGACAGATGAACAAACTGAATGTTGTGCGCAGCCTTTGCACAAAGATTGGTCACATCATTGAACATATCTGTTGGATAACGGCGCTCTGAGCACAAATATTTAATTTAAAGTTAAGTTTTATGGACCAAAGACCAAGGAGTGAATGAGGGAGGAGAGGTTTTTTTCTCCCTTACAGCTGACAGAAAGCCGTGGTGGTGACAGAGAACGTTAAGCCCTGTAACATCAGTTTGTGCAGAAGAGCTAAAATAAATGAGCTCTGAGGCGACGGAGGCTCGACTCACCGTTACTGTAGAGGAGCTGGAGCCTGTAGTGGATCCCGTTGTTGGTTTTCTCTCCGTTGTACTCCTGTAAAAACACAGAACCACTTTAATCTCATGAAGGATCAATAAAACAGCCAGGAAGCTGAGAAACAGGTTCTAYACCAGAGCTGACCCATCCAACATGGCCGCCTCAGACCAGCGTGGAGTCTAACAGGTGAAACACTGTCTGACATTCAGGACAAATCAGACATTAAGAAGTCTTCATGTTTGTTCTCGGTGGATCTAAGGAGAACATCCTGATGGTAAACAGGTTCCTAACATCAGCTTCCTGTCGTCGACCCACCGCTGAGCGACGGAGAGGAAATAAAACTCTTCCTCTTCATCACATCAGATTTTAAACACTCCTCTCTGCTGACCTTCCTGCCGTCCTTCTTCTCTCCCTTTATTCCTCGTTTTACTCGGCTCCTCTCCCCCCGTCTGAGCCCACGTCAGCCGGCCGCTCCGTGCCAACCGCGCCTGCCGGCGTTGGCTCGGCCCCAGCGCGTCGGGCCCAGACACTGGAGGTCAAAGCAGAGGTGAGGTAAGCGAGTGGGTGGAGGATCTGGTGCCAGCTGGCAGCCCATCAAAGAACAAACATCCCAAATCCTGCCTGGATGGTTTTAACGAGCCTCGTCACTTTCTGAGTCTGATCAGAACAAAACTGAATTTATCCAAAGCTGAGAGAAATCTGAGGAACCAGGTTCAGGTTCCATCAACCAGACAAAACCTGCAGGATCCCCGAAAGACCTGGAGCCTTTAGGGTCTCTGGTGGACCTCTGAAGGACTACGGTGGTCCTATAAAGGTCTATGGTGGAAAAACCTCTAAAGGACTACACTGGACCTCTGAAGGTCTACAATGGACCTCTGAAGGTCTACACTGGGCCTCTGNATGGACCTCTGAAGGAATACACTGGACCTATAAAGGTCTATAGTGGACGAACCTCTGAAGGTCTACGGTGGTCCTATAAAGATCTACAGTGGACGAACCTCTGAAGGTCTACGGTAGTCCTATAAAGGTCTACAGTGGAAAAACCTCTGAAGGTCTACACTGGACAAACCTCTGAAGGTCTACAGTGCACCTATGAAGGTCTACGGTGGTCCTATAAAGGTCTACAGTGGAAAAACCTCTGAAGGTCTACACTGGACAAACCTCTGAAGGTCTACAGTGCACCTATGAAGGTCTACGGTGGTCCTATAAAGGTCTACAGTGGAAAAACCTCTGAAGGTCTACACTGGACCTCTGAAGGTCTACACTGGACCTCTGAAGGTCTATACTGGACCTCTGAAGGTCTATACTGGACCTCTGAAGGTCTATACTGGACCTCTGAAGGTCTATACTGGACCTCTGAAGGTCTACAA